GCTCAGCCCACCAGGGGGCGGGGCTGGCTGGCATGTGGTGCTGGGGGATTGAACTGCGCGGTCCCTGTGCTTTGCTAAACTTGTATCTAAGTAGGTGCTTTAGACCCGAGCCATCTCACCAGCCCCTCAAACTGAGCTCTTGCACACGCACCCCTCTCCACACACACACCCCCCACTTCAGGACGCACTCTGCAGTTCATGCCAGCTCGAGGCCCTGCACTTGGGCTGTTCTTCCTCCACAATACACCTCTACCTCTATTCCTCACCAAGGACCCAGTCCCACACCACCACGGGTGGAGCTCAGCTCCTCCTCTTGAGTCTCAGTGGAGGCCGCCCAATGCTCCAGGATACATCAGAATTCCTTTTCTCTTCCTGTTCCCTCTGAGCTGAGTTTCCCAACCGGGCAATGAAGAGTGTCTCAGGAAGAGCACATTCCCTCCCCTTCTGGCCTCAGGGTCACCCTCCCTATCCCAGACCCAGTCCCTCAAGAAACTCAGTATCACACTCTTGGAAATAACCATTTGGGGCCAGGACAAGACATTCCATTCCAATGCTGGCAGGATGGGATGTGCTACGTTCTTCATAAGTTACATCTCTACAGGTGATGGCATGAAGAACAGGGAATTAAAATCACCAGGGCAAAAAAAATAAATAAAATCACCACGGCTAAGAAGATAGTTCAACAGTATAAGGGCCTGTCCGGGAAGCACAAGGTCCTAAGTTAGACCTCCAGTACCACACACACACACACACACACACACACACACAAAATAATAAAATAAAATCATTAGCCCAGTGGATATTGGTAAAGTGTCTGATTTCTTGACGGGTAGAGAAAAAAACTGTATTTAGCAGAGGAAGAGAGAAGAAGTCAGAGAGTGAGGACAGCACCTAACCCTCACACTTTCTGAGTAGGGTCCCTAGATAGGAAAGTTAATCCAGCCTGGCACTGTACTGCACAGGAGGCCGAGGCAGGAGGATCACAAGTTCAAGGCCAGACCAGGAAACTTAGCAATGTAGCAGGCCTTGTCTTTCAAAACAGAACAAAAAAATGAATTAGACCAGAGAAAGAATGTGAAAAAGAAATGAGGATGAAGCCAAGACCATGAAGTGGGCAGGTGCCAACAAGGAGCACCAGCCCAGCACAGCCAGGCCACACCGCCTGCCTGCTCAGCTGCAGAATGCAAAAAGCATCACGGCCTCCCTCTCCTCTTCCAGACCCCTCCATAAGGAAAACCGTGCACACGCTCACGCTCGCTCTCTCTTTTATAATTTTTATAATCACATTTTCACTATTCATCCCCAGCTAAACTGCTAAATTGCCCAGGATGGGCTTGAACTTTTCAATCCTCCTGCCTCAGCCTCTGAGTGCTAGGATTACAGGCATGTGCCTCTATAGACACAGTTTTAATATAACTTCAATCTTGCAGAATTACAAGAATGATACAAAGGAAAAGAAAAAAAAAAAAAAGAATGATACAAAAGACCTGTCTCGCTTAGTAGAATAAGTGCTTCCCTGTCAAGCACAAGGGTCTGAGCTCAATCCCCGGTTCCACAAAAAAACCCAAAAAACAAAAAACAACCCTGTCTCTACTCTTGCCCCAGATTCACCAGCTGTTTGCATCATGCTATGCTTGTCCCCAGTGTGGGTGTGTGTCCATGTGTCTTTCCCTGGATCAGGCATCAGTGAACCATAGCCGCTGGCCAAACCTAGCTGGGTAATTTTCCATGGACAATAAGATGGAAATGGGTTTTGCAGGCTTGAAAATCAATCAGCAGAGCATTTCACGACTCGTAAACATGATGTGCACTTGGAAGTACAGCCTCCACCCCTAGTACTCCTGGCACCGCCACGCCACTCCACACAAGGTCTGTGGCTGCTTAGGTTGTGACAGAGACCCTATGTCCCTAAAGTTTAATGTCGCTACTATTTGGCCTTTTACCAGAAAGCTTCGCCCGTTCCTGGACTGATCCCTTCAGTCCCTATGGACAGCATGGCTCCTAAGAACTACACCTGCCCTGGGAATGATCTATCCAGACACAACCGGAAAGACACCAAACTTGAAATTGCAACGCATGCGCCCTCCCCACTCACGCCTCACTGGCTCTCTTATGGCACTTTTCCTCCAGACCTTGGGTGCCGTTCAGCTTGTGCAGTTGCCTTGATTGTTTTGGGTCTTTTTTGATCTTACTGTATTTTTGTTGTTGTTGTTGAATTGTTTTTTTAAAAGAGAGGTTTATTGTTTGTTTCTGGTGCTGAGGACTAAACCCAGGGCTTCCAGCTTGCTAGGCAATCATTCTACCTCTGAGTCAAATCCCCAGCGCCGGGTCCCATTCAGTTTCGTGCCTTATTGTAGCACCTACGAAAACTGCTGCTTGCTTTTGCGGTGCTGCGGATTGAACATTCGACACTGAGCTACATCCTCAGCCCCTTTTTATTTTAAAACAGGGTCGCAGACAGGTGGGGTAGTGCACACCTATAATCCCAGCACCTGAGAGGCTGAGTCAAGAGGATCACTCCTTTTCTGTAGATCCTTCTGTGGTGGATCACCACACCCAGTAGCAGCCAACTTTCTGCATGTAATTAGTAAATCACCCCAGAGCTAAGGGTATGGGTCAGTGGTAGACTTCTCGCCTATCATTCTTCAGGTCCTGGGTTGAATTCCCAGCACCAAAAATAAGGAAGTACATAAAATGCTGTTAGCTGTGTGAAGGGAGACTGCATTAAATCACTTTTTAATTCTCCAGTGCTGACAGCCCTCCACTGTCAATAAGCATCAAGTGGGAGCCAGGCACAGTACAACATGCCTGGCATCCCAGCTACTTAGGAGGCTGAGGCAGGAGGATCATAGACTACAAGTCTGAGCTGTAGCAAGACCCTGTATGAAATAAATAAGCAAATACATAAATAAATGATTTTTTTAAAAAATTGTGGTGATACACATACCTGTAATTTCACCTCTCAGGAAGCTAAGGCAGAAGGATTGCTATAAATTCAAGGCCAGCCAGCCTGGACTACACAGCAAGACCCTGTCTCAAAAACCCAAAAAATAAAAACATCTGCGGAGAACAAAGGGAATCCTCCAAATCTGCAGAGGGAGGAAGGACAGGGAAGAGATAGAGTGCAGGAAGGTGGGAGATAAGGGCTGTCTTGGGTGTTAGGCTCTGCCACAGGCAGATAAGAAGCCCAGCAGGAGCAGCAGCAGATGCGCACCAGGTCCTGTTCTGGGGGATGAATATTTAATGGCACGCGTAAAACATGAAGACCTTATCCTTGTTAAAAATTCAAACACTACACCCAGCGAACATCCGCTCTGAATACACCAGGAACCATCCGTCTTCTCCTGCTCCCCTAGAAACCTCTGTACTCTCTGCATCTGGGTTTTACTTGGGGGCCTTTTGGTTTTTTGAGACAAAGTCATGTCATGTAGCCTACCCTAGCCTCCAACTCTCAGCAGTCCTCCTTCCTCAGCCTCCAGTGCTGGAATTATAGGTGCGTTCCACCACACCTAGCACGCTTGCTTGCTTTCTCTGTCTTTTTCTTTCTTTTTTCTGTATTTTAGAGAAGGGTCTACAGGGTGTTCAGGGTCTCACTACTAGATTGGACTTCAAGTGATCCAGCTGTTTACAGCCTCCTGAGGGCTGGGATGACAGGTTCGAGCCACCACGCACAGTCTCAATCACTGTCTTCCCAGTGCACCTCCAGGGGGCAGGGCTGGCCCTTGGCACTGTTTCTTTTTCTTTCTTTCTTTCCTTTTTTTTTTTTTTTTTTTGCGGAACCGGGGATTGAACTCAGGCCCTTTGCTCGCCAGGCAAGCGCTTACTCTACTGAGCCATCTCCTCAGCCCCAGCACTGTTTATTTTATTTTATTTTTTATTTTTATTTATTTATTTATTTTTTAATGTGTGTGTGTGTGTGTGTGTGTGTGTGTGTGTGTGTGGCCAGCTCAGCCCACCAGGGGACGGGGCTGGCTGGCATGTGGTGCT